TAGGCTGGTACTGGTGTACAGGAAATTCTAGGGGTTTGCCTGTGCTAGGATACCTTTTATAATCTGTGGCTTCTCCTGGGGCTGGAACCACTCCTGGGAAGAGAAAATCCATCTTCTCAAATGAAGACTAATCTCTCTCTGGGCAGAGAGTTGGTCTTCTGTCTCTGCCCTGGAAGACACCCTTAGAACTTGGAAATGGCCGGAGAGAGAAGGAGCAGGAGGAAGCAGAGATTCCCTCCAACCTTGCAGAATTGGGCTATGCTATTCACTGCAGAGGCTGTTCCACTTCGAGAACCTGCAGGGGGCACCTGCTGTGGCTCTTCCTGGGGAGGTGGCCTCTACCTTGCGGACCGCACACAGCAGGTCTTGAGGAACGTGGCTCCGCTGGTGGCCATCTATCCACAGCACTTTAAGAGATAGCTGGGTCAGCAGGGGGTGGTGACTCACACCTGTAATCCCAGCACTTTGGGAGGTCAAGGTGGGTGGATCACCTGAGGTCAGGAGTTGGAGACCAGCCTGACCAACATGGCGAAACCCCATCTCTATTAAAAATACAAAATTAGCTGGTTGTGGTGATGCATGCCTGTAATCCCAGCTACTTGGGAGGCTGAGGCAAGGGAATTGCGTGAACCCGGGAGGCAGAGGTTGTAGTGAGCCAAGATGGCACCACTATACTCCAGCCTGGGCAACAAGAGCAAAACTCCATCTAAAACAAACAAAAAAAAGAGCTGTCTGGGTCTCATTTTCCTCTTTGCTGGTATCTGCAATTCAAGTTTTGCTTCTAAAGCGCTCACACTAAGACAGTGCCTTTTTATTCCCCAGTCCCTCGTCTCCCACTGACCTGCTACCTCTGCTCTTGTTTCCTGACTGGCTTCTACCCATTTTCTTCCACTTCCTTCTGGATCTCTTCTGGGCATCTCCTTCAGTCTTTCCCAACTGGCTTCAGCCTGGGCACAGGTATAAGGGTGATGAAAGTATGAGACAGAACATTCACCCATGAACTGCAGTTCAGGCTTATCTTTGCAGATGAGACATTGGGCCTGGTCTAGGGTGGTGCAGCCAGGGTTGGGAGAAGGGGCTGTGTCTACATCTGCTCCCTGTGAGCTTGCTGCAAAGCTGGGAGTACCTGCCTAGAGCTAGGAGAGAAAGTTCAATGGGCTGAGATTAGTTATGAATTTGGGATAAGCAGTAAGTGGGGTGAATGGTAAAGTGTTGGTGGGGAGAGACAGGGAGAAAGACAGATGGAGAGTTGGACTTGGGAGAAACAGATAGAAAAAAAGAGATGCACACACATACAGAGACAGAGAGAGAAACAGTGAGAGACAGTGGGGGAGAGGGGAGAGGGAGAGAAAGACACAGAGAAAGGGACACATAAACAGTAAAAGAAACACATACATGCTCATGACTCTATCATTTATCATATCTGTCATCTATGTTTCCATCACTCCATACATCTCTCTCATCTGTACCTGTCCTTCTTATCTCTATCCATTTATCCTATTCATCATCTATCGATATATCACCTACCTTCTCTTTCTCTCATCTGTCATCTATCTATCTGTCTGTCTGTCTGTCCGTCCATCAATCCTGTCTGTGCATCCATCCATCTATCTATTCTATCTGTCTATCTATCAATCATCCATCCATCTTATCTGTGCATCCATCCATCTACCCATCCATCTATCCTGTTATCTACCTATCTACCTACTTAGCTACCTACCTACTACCTACCTACCTATCAATCCATCTATCCTATCTGTGCATCCATCCATCTATCCTATTACCCATCCATCCATCCATCCATCCAATCTGTGTGTCTATCTGTCCATCCATCTATCCTATCTGTCATCTATCTATCTGTTTGTATATCTACTGACTGACCTACCCATCTGTATCCATCCATCCAATCTGTGTGTCCGTCTGTCCAGTCAGTCAATCAATCAATCTACCTACCTATCCATGCATGCATCCACCCATCCTATCTGTGGGTCCATCCAACCATCTGCTTATCTATCTGTCTATCCATCCATCCATCCATCATCTACATATCTACCTATAGAAAGACACACAGAGAGGAAGAGAGTGAGGGAACAGAGGAGCACATAGACATAGACACAGAAAGAGACAGGCAGAGACCAATATTTCAGGTGAAGGAGCTGAGAAGGGTGGGGTATGCGATGGGTAGGGGGGTGCAATGAGCAGTGGTAGCATTGGAGGCCCCCTGCCGGCCTTGTGTCAACCTTGTCCATCCCCAGGTGCAGAGCAATGAGGATGGCATGTGGTTGCTGGAGCATATGAGCCACTATTTCCATGATGTCCACCTCTGGTGGTTTGGGCCCTTCTACCCTGTTGTGCGATTCATCCACCCTAAGTTCATTGCCCCTGTGCTCCAGGCTCCAGGTATCTCTCTCAGGAGGCTATGCTGCAGCCTCTTCCCTGCCTCTGCTTCCAGTCCTTCCAACCCTAGGACAGGCCATGCTGAGCAGAAAAATGGGCACATCCAGCGGAGACCATGGCTCTGCCACTAACCTGCTGGGTGACTCTGGCCAGGTCCCTGGCGCTCTCTGGTTGCTGAGACCTCTTTTAGTTGTGGGTGAAGAAAACTCAACCCTGTGTGGTCTAAGCAAAGAAAGAGAATGCATTGACTGTAAAGTCCAGGAAGGGTGGTCTTCAGGCGTGGCTGGATCCAGTCCTTCAAATAATGCCAGTCTTCATCTCTTAGCTCTGTATCCCTCTGTGATAGTTTCACTCTCATGCTGGTAAAGATAAGTCCCAGAAAACTCAACCCCTGTGGAAAATTCCCTGTGGTTCCAGTAAAAGTTCCAGGATTCTCCTAAATTTGCCTGGCCTGGATCACAGGACCAATTTCTTATCCAGTTACTGCAGCTTGGTTGCATAGGTTTAAGGTCGTATGCTCAACTCTGGAGCAGGGAGTGGGCATCCTCTCAACCACTTGGATTGAGAGTGGGGAAGGCATGAGGACGAGGGATGCTGGATAGGCAGATGTCACAGACATCCGTTTACCAGCATCCCTGCAACATCGGCATTTCTTGAGTAAGAAAACTGAGGCTCAGAGAGGCATGATGACTTCTCAAGAGAGAAGTCCTAGATATACCACACAGCATATCTAGGCCTTCCTCTTAGTTCTTTGTTTTTTCTTTTCTTTCCTTTTTGTTTTTTTGAGATGGAGTCTCGCTCTGTCACCCAGACTGGAGTGCGGTAGTGCCGTCTCTCCTCACTGCAAGCTCTGCCTCTGGCGTCCAAGCAATTCTCCTGCCTCAGCCTCCCAAGTAGTTGGGACTACAGGTGCCCGCCACTACGCTTGGCTAATTTTTGTATTTTTAGTAGAGATAGGGTTTCACCATGTTGGCCAGGCTGGTCTCGAACTCCTGACCTCAAGGGATCCACGCAGCTCAGCCTCCCAAAGTGCTGGGATTACAAGAGTGAGCCACCCCACCTGGCTTATTTCTTTAAAAAAAAAACTTTTTTTGAGATAGGGTCTCACTCATTAATGCTCGGTGTGGAGTGTGGCAGGATACCGAGGAAGCCTCCATCAAGCCTCGGTGATATCTGGGACACTAATAGGACCAGATTTAAATCCTATCTGGGCCCGCCCATCTGTGGGGCATGTGAAGTCATTTCAGATTCTCTCATGTCTGGGCATGGCATGTCAGGACAAGTCACGTATATGGTGGCCATGTGAGAACACGTTAACTCATCTCAGGCTATGCCTCATGTCTCAGGTCCATGTCAGAAGGTGTCAGAGAGGACTGGGGCAGACAGGGTGTTCTAGGTCCTTGGAAAGGCATTTTGTAGAGTGTTGCGCTATGCCCAGGTGTTGCAGAAAATGTAGGAGCTATGTCAAGGTATGCTGTGCCATGTTGGGCTATGTCACTGTTCTGCACTGCTGCGGCCTGGTCTGGTCCCCACTCTCCTCCCCAATCCTCCCTTCTTCCTTTGCCCTTGACCCTCTTTCTGCTATGCTGGACATGGAGGGTGGAAGTGCAAACCCCTGGCTGGGAGCCTCCCCCTACACTTGAAGTCCCTCCCCTACCCCTCTCCATGACCCCTGATGGTCCTTGTTCATGTCAGCTGAAGTTGCACCCAAGGATATGACTTTCTACGGCTTCCTGAAGCCTTAGCTGGGTGAGTAACTGGAGGAATGGGGCTGGGGACAGCCTTTTGGGGCCAGGGGAAGGTGCTGCCCTTGCCCATGGCCCTTGGCTGCCTCTATTAGGGACTGGGCTCCTGCTGAAGGGCGGTGATAATTGGAGACGCCAGCGCTGCCTGCTCACACCCGCCTTCCACTTCAACATCCTGAAGGCCTATGTGAAGATTTTCAACAACAGCATGAACATCATGCACATGAGTGCCACAAACTCTGGTCCCAGCTGGGGCCTTGGGAAAGGAGAAGTGACCTCAGGCAGATCTGGTCTGAAATGCCGGCTCTGCTGGTGGCTTTGGTGCGGTTGCTTTTCCTCCCCGGGCCTTGGTTTGTCATCTGTAAAATGGGGATAATTTTACAGATGGGATTTCACCATTTTGGCCAGGATGGTCTCCATCTCCTGACCTCATGATCCACCCACCTCGACCTCCCAAAGTGCTGGGATTACAGCTGTGAGCCACCACGCCCCACCCAAAGCAGATCATCCTGGCTATTACCGAAGAGTTGATGGGGGGGGGCACCTAAAGAGGGCAGTGAGTTGACCAAGGGTACATAGAGCATAGGAGCAGAGCTGGAACTTGAATTCAGGTCACCTGATCCCCAACCTTAGGGTCTTCATGTTCTAATAGTAGCAGGTTCTGTTCCACCCAAGCTTGATCCTCCTTGGGGATGGGTACCTGGGGAAGAGGTCCAGGAGTTGGTTCTAGGGGAGTCCATCCTGGAGGCTGGGGACAGGGAGGGGCTCAGGGTGCCAGGGCTCAGTTCTGGCTCTGTCCCCTTCTCTGACCAGGCCAAGTGGCAGCGCCTGGCCTCAGAGGGCAGTGTCCTTCTGGACATGTTTGAGCACATCAGCCTCATGACCTTGGACAGTCTGCAGAAATGCATCTTTGGCTTTGACAGCAATTGTCAGGAGTGAGTTCTTGCCCAGGACCTGGAATCTTGGCCATGGACCCATGGTAGTAGGTTGGGGGGACAAGACTGATCAGGGCATTTGGAAGTGCCTTCTTAGAGAAAATGAGTCAGAAGTTGGCATGGAAGTACAGGGAAGGGGAGAGAGAAAGAGCAGCTCTCCAGGTAGGTAGAACTGTTTGGGGAAAGGCAAGGAGGCTAGGATGAGCAGATCATATGCAATAGCCATCAAGAAGACACCTTGGAAATGAGATTGGAAGGGTTAGCAATAGCTACAACTTAAGGACGTTGAAAAGCCGTGCAAAGGGGTATGGACTTTATCCAAGGTTCCCAGGAAGCCATGGGAGGTGTTTGAGAAGATGAGGGTCATGGTCAGTGCTGAGCTTGGACATTTGACTCTATGGAAGATTGACTGTTATGTAGATGCAGGAAGCAGGGAGAGCATGGAGAGGAAGGGGTCTGAGCTTGGTGGAGGAAATGGGGTAGATTTTCGAGAAACCAAGGAGAATAGGCAGGAGTAGATGTTGAGTAAAAAAGGGGGAGATGCCCATGATGCCCAAGCTGTGGCCTGGGGACCGGAGGCAGGAGGCAGCTCACACAGAGTGGGAAGTAGAGAGTGAAGTGTGCTTGCAGGGCACCCTTTTATGCATGGAATGTGGTCCTGAGATTCTGGCTGGGAGGTGCTCCGAGGCTTTCATGTGTGTTTAGAAGCTGCTGCTTCTTTCTGGCCTGGCCCTGGCCTGACCCTGCAGGAAGCCCAGTGAATCTATTGCTGCCATCTTGGAGCTCAGTGCTCTCGTTGTGAAACGGCACAGGCAGATCTTCCTGTACTCGGACTTCTTGTACTTCCACACTCCCAATGGGCGACGCTTCCGCAGGACCTGTGACATAGTGCACAACTTCACAGATGCCATCATCCAGGAGCGTCACTGCACCCTCACTAGCCAGGGTGTTGATGACTTCCTGCAGGCCAAGGCCAAGTAAGGTGGGCTGCTCTGGGATCTCAATTTCAGAAGTAGAATGGATCTTGATGTCAAATGTCAGATCCATGCACTTGGACTTGATCCAGAGGGCACTGGGGAGCCATGGAAGGTGCTTCAGGAAAGAAGGAACAAGCCAGATACCTTTCACAGAGGTGACTCTGTGGAAGACGTCTTAGCAGGAGCAAACAGGAGGCAGGAGACTAGGAGAGAGTCCTGCTAGGCAGGTCTGGTGGTGATAAGGGAGGAATCTTGCCTGGAATATGGATCTTCGTGGACTGTTTTAGGTTAGACTCAGGTGCCTTCATCACTGGTGCAATTTAGTGGTCTTGTCTCCAGGATGAAAATGGAAAGGAGTTGTCAAATGAGGACATAAGAGCGGAGGCTGACACCTTCATGTTTGCGGGTGAGGGTCCCAGTGTGTGATGTCACTAGGGGTAGGGGTCTCTCCATTCCAGGGATGTGGTGGGTAGACCCTGGATCGCTCCATCCCGTCTTCCTTCCCTGCTTCCTCCTGATGGCCTCAATGCATGGGTGCTGTCCACCCTCTGGTGCTGAAGCAGCCCAGAGACCCAAGCTTACCTGGCTGCCCCTCAGGCCATGACATCACAGCCAGTGGTCTCTCCTGGGTCCTGTACAACCTTGCAAAGCACCCGGAATATCAGGAACACTGCCGACAGGAGGTGCAAGAGCTCCCGAAGGGCCGTGATCTTAAAGAGATTGAATGGTAAGTGTGCAGGTCCTCATGTCCTATTTCTGAGTCCCTCTCATTGGTTTAGCTCTTCAGGTGGGAAAGGGAGAAGGTCTTATTGCTGAATCTGCTATTACCGCCTAGTGGGAATAGGTGCAGAGCCCAGAGACAGGGTCTGATACTCAGCCTGGAGCAATGGAAAGGTTGCAGGATTTTTGCCTTTATTAACTGTTACAATTAAACCCATTCAATTCTCCCTCCTTTCCTTCCTCCTTCCCTCCCTCCCTCCCTCCCTCCCCCGAACTCTTTCTTTCTTGGAGACTTATTCTGTCGCCCAGGCTGGAGTACAGTGGCACGATCTGATAGATGCAACATAATACTTTAATGAACATCACTTTAAGCATGGGTAAGTTGAGCATTGGTTTCACTTATTGGCCAGCCATGTGTATTTCTTATTCTGTGAAGTGTGAGTTTTCATAATTTGTTCTTTTTAGTTTGGGTTTTTGTAGTTTTTTTTCTTATTGATTTATAAGCACTGTTTACATATTAAGAAAACTAGTTCATTTTTTTCTGTTTTGCAAAGTTCTTTCTCAGATTGTTTTTGAATTAATTGTTGGCTTTGGTTCATTTGTAGTCAAATTATTTCCTCTATAGATGCCATTTTTAAACTTAAATTAAAATTTTTATTTTGAGTCAGAGTCTTGCTATATCACTCAGGCTGGATTGCTGTGGCATGCTCTTGGCTCAATGCAACCTCTGCCTCCCGGGTTCAAGCGATTCTCTGCTTCCCAGGTTCAAGCGATACTCACCCTCCTGAGTAGCTGTATCGTCATCACTATACCCAGCTAATTTTTTTATTTTTAGCAGAGATGGGGTTTCGCCATGTTGGCTAGCCTGGTCTTGAACTCCTGACCTCAGGTGATCCACCCACCTCAGCCTCCCAAAGTGCTAGGATTACAGGCGTGAGCCACCGCGCCCGGCCATGTTTTTGTTTTGCAAAATCATGCTTGGGAAATGCTTTCATAATCTAAAATTAAAATGTAAAACTCTTGTTTGTTTTCCTCTAATGGGCTTATTTTAAATATATTTATTTAATATTTTAGTTTTAAAATATTAATTACTTTTGTGTCTATGAAATATATGTTGGTATGAGAATTGATGTAGGAATCTATTCCTTTTCCTCCAAATGCCCAGTTGTCCCAACAGAATTTAATGAATATTTCATACTTGTCTTATGATTTTAAATAATAGCAGATTTGCGATAAGTGAAATTTATGTATATATTTGAATTTATTTATTGTGCTGTATTCTGTTTCACTTAATTATTTTTTATTTTTTACTTTTTTGAGATGGAGTCTTACTGTGTTGCCCAGGCTGGAGTGCAGTGGTGTGATTTCAGCTCACTGCAATCTCTGCCTCCTGGGTTCAAGCGATTCTCATGCCTCAGCCTCCTGAGTAGCATGCCTGGCTAATTGTTGTATTTTTAGTAGAGATGGGTTTCACCACATTGGCCAGGCTGGTCGAAAATTTCAGACCTCAAGTTATCCGCCCACCTTGGCCTCCCAAAGTGCTGGGATTACAGGTATGAGTAGCTGCACCTGGTCCAGTTAATTATAAAGTCATGCATAAGAATCAAGATGTCTTCATCAATATACTTTAAAAAACACTTTCATATTTGATAAAGGTAATTGTGTCTCATTACTTTGCCTTTATAATTTTTTCTTTTTTTGAGACAAGAGTCTTGCTCTGTCGCCCAGGCTGGAGTGCAGTGGTGCAATCTCTGCCTCCTGGGTCCAAGCAATTCCCCTGCCTCAGCCCCCTGAGTAGCTGGGATTAAAGGCATGCACCACCACACCCAGCTAATTTTTGTATTTTTAGTAGAGATGAGGTTTTACCATGTTGGCCAGGCTGGTCTTAAATGACTGACTTCACGTGATCCGCCAGTCTCAGCCTCCCAAAGTGCTGGAATTACAGGCAAGAATGCAGTGGTGCGATCTTGGCTCACTGCAACCTCCACCTCCTGGGTTTAAACTATTCTGTCTCAGCCTCCTGAGTAGCTGGGATGACAGTTGCCCAGCCTTACGGTTTTTTCTTGAGTTCTATTTTTTCCATGTGAGTTCTATGATCAGGTTGGCTAGTTTGAAAAATACCCTGGAAATTTTTAATTAATTATTTTTTTGGACCTCAAGTGCCAATGGTTTTGTTAAGTGTACTTCTTAATTCAAGGCCGGTTCTCATCATTTTTCCATTCAATACTTATTTCTTCTCCTTTATCCTGATTCTACAGTGTGTAGCCGCCCCCCCATCAATATGATTCTAGAGAGACAGATTCTTTTATTTGTAAAATTTTTTGTTAGGGTGGATGTATTTTAAAATTCCAAGTATTTTGTGCTGGTTTTATGTTTTTCAGAAATGTAGCACTATGAGTTTCTTAGCCATCTATGGTTCTAAGCACATTTCGTTCATTGCTTTTTTTTTTTTTTTTTTGAGATGGGGTCTTGCTCTGCTTCCCAGGCTGGAGTGCAGTGGCATCATCTCAGCTCAGTGCTACCTTTGCTTCCTGGGTTCAAGCAATTCTCCTTCCTCAGCCTCCCTAGTAGTTGGGATTACAGACACCTGCCTAATTTTTTGTATTTTTAGTGGAGACGGGGTTTCACCATATTGGCCAGGCTAGTCTCAAACTCCTGACCTCGTGATCCATCTGCCTTGACCTCCCAAAGTGGTGGGATTACAGGTGTGAGACACTGCGCCTGACAATTTTTTCTATTTTCAGTAGAGACAGGGTTTCACTATGTTGGCCAGGCTGGTCTCAAACTCCTGATCTCAGGTGATCCGCCTGCCTTGGCCTACCAAAGTGCTCGGATTACACCATGCCTAGCCTGAGCACCTCTTCTTATTGTCCCATTTATGCCTAGTCTTCCATTATTGGAACATGAAGCATGTAGAAGTTATTCATATCCTACTGCTCCAGGTCATTGCCAAGGTCTGATTTTCAAAATTCAAAAAATTGCAACCTCAGGCATAAATGGATTAAATCTCATGTATTTGAGCATCCATGACTTCTTAGATCATATTCTTTGTCTACTTTCCTCTTGGATCACCTGTTCATTCTCTTGTTATTTTGCAGGAATTCCTTGTATTCTAGATATTGTATACATCTTTGAATCTGAATGTTCATTTGGTCCGTGGTGTTCTTTATCACACAAAACCCTTAATTTTCATGTGTATTTATCCTTTTCCTTTTTGATTTTCCACTTTGTGCTTTTGAGGTTTTAAGAATTCTTACTCCTAAGTCACAAAAATGTCTATTCTGTTATCTTCTTTTAACTTTTTTTTTTTGGAGACAGAGTCTTGTTCTTTCTCCAGGCTGGAGTGCAGTGGCGTGATCTCAGCTCACTGCAGCCTCCGTCTCCCAGATTCAAGCGATTCCCCTGTCTCAGCCTCCTGAGTAGCTGGGACTACGGGCTCGTGCCTTCTGAGTAGCTGGGACTACAGGTGCGTGCCACCACACCTGGCTAATTTTTTGTATTTTTTTGTAGAGACAAGGTCTCACTATTTTGCCCAGGCTGGTTTTAAACTCCTGGGCAAGCAATCTGCCTGCTTCAGCCTCCCACAGTCTTGGGTTTACAGGCGTGAGCCACCATGCCCAGCTCATTTATCTTTTAAAAAGTATTTTGTTGCCGGGCGCGGTGGCTCACGCCTGTAATCCCAGCCCTTTGGGAGGCCGAGGCGGGTGGATCACGAGGTCAAGAGATCGAGACCATCCTGGTCAACATGGTGAAACCCCGTCTCTACTAAAACTACAAGAAATTAGCTGGGCATGGTGGCGCGTGCCT